AAAAAAAAAAAAAAAAAAAAAAAAAAAAAAAAAAAAGAATGTAAAGAAGCCGCATTATTGTAAATTAATGCTTATCAAGAGACGCTAGGCCTAGTATTTCATTAACATAGCTGTATGTGTGAAGAGACGCAGTTTACAGGAATAATTTAATTTCCCCCAGGATCACAGTCAAAAGAAGTATTACAAATAGAAGAATTCAACTTTAAACAAGATACCTCTGAAAAGTATTTTAGTTTGGAGTTGAAAACATGAAAGTATTTGAATATTTTTCATTTTACTATTTTTCTATAATTGTTTTAAGCATTGCTACTTAGGAAGGATATGCCTCCTATGTTCAGTTTTAGACTTACAGTATAAACAGCTTTCACTTTTTATGCTCTTAATGGACATATAATTACCAACTGACCTATAATTTTTGTACCATACACTAATGATATTTAATAATAACTGTACTGTTTGGTTTTTTTCAGTACTAAACTAATTTGGTATAGTAGATCAAAGCCAGATGGATGCGTAAAAAAGATAAGATCTTTTAGGTTCCATCTGGAACAAAAGTCAGCAACAAATGTAATCTAATAATGTCTTCATATTCACCTGTTTGCAACTAATATCTTAAAACTTGCATTAATCTTCCTGAAATCAAGGAAAACAGGCTAGATATTGGTTTTCTGTGCTTTTTGAACTAGTGGAAAGTTTTTCATTTTTAAGAGAAATTGCAATTTGCCTTTCTGGAATTATTTTTTTATATATAAGAGTGAAAACATTTATTGTTTATTATGTGGTATAGGTGTGAGCAATAATTATATAGCCTTAAAAATGCATTCATAAATGTATGGATTTAAAGTGAAAACTGGGATATAATTATATTACAAAGATAAAGGAGAAAAACTGGTGAAAGATGAGACGAGCTAGAGATTCATCTTCCAAACTTGGAAGCCAATATATGTATTAGGATTTCCCAGAAAAACAGAATAGACTGTATATATATGCAATGTATGGCATAGATAGAGATAGAGATAGATACATGAGAAAAAGTGAGTCTGGAATTTTTTTAATGTAACTGCATTGAATTTAAACTTGACATTAGATGAAAAAGAATACTGCTGAATACATTTTCAAGAATTATTCTTTAATACTCTGTATTTATAAACTGCCACTGCATATGATTGCAAATTGTTGATTTCAATATAAAAGGCTCACAGGTATGATCACTTTTGTAACACTACTGCTAAAATTTTGGACAATTTGCATATAACTTGATTAATAAATAAGACTACCCAGTGTTCAAGTAAACATAAAATTGCAGAGTGATAGTAAGAAAATGAAGATGTCTTTTCTCCTTTGACAAATTATTGTGATTTTGATAATTTCTTTTGAAAACTTCATGCAAATCTATGAAGGAAATGCCTTTTCTCTATAGTCATTCTCACAAAATGTATAATAGTCTCTTTAAGTGGGAAAAAAGAAAAAAAATGATGGAGGGTCAGGCCATAATCTCTAGTAGTTATATTTTGAGCAATTAGAAACTAAATAATCTGTACTGTGGTTTCATAGTGGCTAACATTAATTAAGACCTAAATAAATACCTATTGATTTGAAATTGGTAAGATAATGAACTAGCATATGGAAGTCTTTCACATCTGCAATTTGCATCCAGAGATCTTTGGAATATTAACATTACAAATTATTGCCTGTTATGCCAGTCAGAAAATCATATTGCTTTAATATAATTAACAGAATACATATCTTGATTTAGGCCAGAAATGATAGATGCTGCAAGAAACAAGGCCCGAGTGAAAGCTTGTTACATAATGATTGGACTCACAATTATTGCCTGCTTTGCAGTGATAGCATCAGCCAAAAGGGTGAGTACCGCTTTAAAATAAAGACAGGCTTTAAAATAGATGTACAGTATGTTTTCACTTAGGAGTGTGAAAAAAATAAAGATTTGTGAATTTTATTAAATGTTATGAACTTTGTTCTCAATTTGGGGATTACTGCTGTTTTTTCAATGTAAGAACAATTTTGTCTCAGATACCTTGAGCCACCCACAAATATCTATCATACTGGAAACAAACTTGTTCATGGAAATTTGAGTCAACAAATTAACTATTAGGTTGTCGGAAAAGTCATGACGTATTTTTTCTATGTTTTTCGTTGCAAAAATGCATCATGAGCTTTCCAACAACCCAATATATGGACTGGAGGGACAAAAGCTTGTTTCTACTTATACGATAAACAAAAACAAAACAGAGCAGTATATTACCTGGTTAAAATCTGCACAAGAAACGCTTTGTTGTGTGAAAGTTATCAAGGCTAAATCATGAACTCCATTAGCTGGTGTATAGAATCATGAAATCGTTAGAAATGAAGAAGTTGGAAGTCATCACCAAGGCTGACTAGTTTGCTTGTATTCTGCATTTGAACCCTTTTCTTGCTGTCTTCAATACGTGGTTTCTAGAGTAAGATTAAGAGCTAATTACTCTCTGATTTTGTTTCTTGCTTCTCCACATCCTTCCATCTGCTGAACACTTTTTACCACATAGAGCAGCTCCACACGTATTGGGAGGCATCTAATACATCCCTATGACTCTTCTCTTCTCCAGTCCGAATTATGCTCTCCCTAAAAACTTCCCTCTATTTTGAGCTCTCCTCTGGACACACTCCATTTTATCAGTGTCTCTTCATTGTGGCACCTGCAACTAAACCCATTGGAGCGTGATTATAACTTGCTTGTTTGTGAACACTGTGTTTTAACAGTGCAGTCAGAGTTGGAACTAGATTTTGACAGCCACATCATACAGAATAATTTGCTTGGATCCATACATCTTCACCCGCTGGGCACGTTTAGCCAATGCCCAGAGAATGGTAATTTAGAATGATAATTCTGCTTAGTCCTATGATTCTGCTCTTCTTTACTTCTCAGGTTTTCAAGAGTATTTGAGCCCAGTAATTCACATATGGAATAGGGCCTCAAAGCTTACTGATGCTATGTACGTGCCCATTCATTTCGGTTAGTGTGGCAAAGAATTATGCTTTAAAATTATTCTCTTCGCATGAAAAATGTCTTCAATATTTGCTGGACTGAACACATAAATATAGGAATAAATAAATTTAGTCATTTCTTGTTTTCGACCTACCCTAAATAAAATGATTGCCCACCAAGTTGATGATTCTCTGGCTCTTAGATGATAGATTGGAGTTACTATCTGGAACCTCCCTGTTTCATGTCACCTTCTCTCTGTTCATTAAGTTCCCGTCTACACTGGTTCTTTTCTTTTTTTTAATACACCAAACTCTCTCTTTTCTAGGCTTTCCTTCCTTTCCCTGTTTTTGCCCTAGCTGGCTTATTCTCATTCTCCACAGAGAAAACTTCTCTGACCACCACATCTAAAATGGCCTCATCTAAGTACTCACTATTTTATCATCTTTCCAGCAACTCATGAGTAAGTCTTTATATGTCATTCATTGATCCTGTTGGCTCTACTTTAAAATATATCCACAACTGGACCACTCCACACCATCTTTCCTGATATCACCCTGGTCAAAGATAACCAACGTCTTTTGCCTAGTTTATTGCAGTATCTTCTAAGTGGCCTCTCTGCTGCCCCTCTTGCCTCTCTCCAATTCTCTTTTCACTTTGAATCATTAATGCATGTAATTTAACTAAGATAGTGGCAGACTGGAGGTGGAGAAAAGGTTAGCAATTTGAAATATATTTGGGGAGGCACAAAAGATAGAACTGTGTGGTAAATCCACTGTGAGAGAAGATAGAAAACAGAAGAAAGAAACCCAAAAGCCTAGGTTTTTGACTTGCACAACTATTAATAGATGGACGATGATGCCACTGTTGATATGTGTAAAGCAGGGGAAAGAACATGTAGGCATGACAGTCCTCTATTTTGGATATATGAACTGTGAGATGCATATTAGACATCTATCAATATCAAATCTTTATTTATTCTGCTAAGGACATTGTATATCCTTCAGTCTGAGGACCTAGAGCTTTTCTCACTTCTGAAAAAGTGTAAGCTGTCGTAAGTTCAAATATGGCCCTTTCCCGCAGCTTATCTAGTCCCTCTCTCCTGTTATGAATGTATGTTGGAACTTGTAATTCTGCTCTCCATGTCTCTTGGCTTCTTTTTTCTATTTTTTTGTATCTTTATCTCTGTGTTGCATTTAAATTATTTCCTCAGATCTATTTTCTAGCTAGTTCTTACTTCCTAATTATGATGCTGATTATCTTTTCTTTTCACAGATGATTCACACACACACACACACACACACACACACACACACACACAAATGCCTAATTTCTTTGCCAGTTTCTTGGGCTGGTGAGACAAGTTTTAGTAATTTTGTAGGGGTACCTTTTCATGATACCTCCAGCTTTTTATTGGTAGCTCAGTTCTGCACCCAAGATCCAAATCCTGGACTTGCCTGTTGGTATAGAGATTAAATTCCCAATTCACAGCTGCAAAAGCCAATATTTCCCCTAATGCCCTCAGAATGAAACCGTTTCCTTCCATCCTGGCTTCAATCCTTTTCAGTTCCCACCAATTTATGCCTTTTGAGTTCTTTTCATTTCTGGAACCTGAGGCTCTCCCTTTCTTGATTTTGAGGTTAATTATTTGAAAATAGTTTTGTTACTTTTTATCCAACAAATACTATATCGATGTATACCAAGAAAGGGTGGGGCAGATTTCTGACATCAGCTGTCCTGTTGACTGGAAGTCTAGCAACTTAAGGAATGTTTTTCTATACAAAAGGATCATTTTTCTTAGATAATATTTGTGACAGATGTTTTAAGTTACTTTTCTCCTTTTCACAGAGTTGCTCTCCTATATATGTCTATCTAATACACAAATTCTTTCCAGAAAGTTAAAAAGCTTTGTTTTGTTTTGTTTTGTTCTGTTTTGTTGTTTTTGCAGGCTGTAGAACGACATGAATCCTTAACAAGTTGGAACCTGGCAAAGAAGGCTAAGTGGCGTGAAGAGGCTGCTTTGGCTGCACAGGCTAAGGCTAAATGATACTCTAAGTGACAAAGTGTTAATCAGACTATCATCACTATTATCAGCAACAATAAAAGATAGGTAAAATGAACATTTAACAAAACATTTGCCGTGGGTTTTTTTGTGTTTTCTTGTTTTGTTTTTGTGGCGTTTTTTGTTTTGGTTTTTTTGTGAAAAGAAGCATAAAGTGTTTTCTATTTTTACTTTCTAGTAAATTTTTATTGAAGTATCACACATGCAGACAAGTGCACCAAAGTGTATACAGCTTGATAGAATTTTTTTACATAGTGAACACACCTGCATCACCATTGCCCAGGTCAAGATCTAGAACATCAACAGCAACCCAGAATCCTCCTTTCTGCCCTCTGTCAGTCATTACCCTCCCAAAGTAAGCGTTCTTGTGAGTTTTATCACCATACATTAGTTTTTTAACTTTATACAAATGGAATTACACAATATGCACTTGTGAACATGGATTCTTATACTCAAAATTATGCTGTGAGATTTATCCACAAATTGTGTAGTATGAATTCATTTACTTTTAATGTTACCATATTCCATTATATGAATGTGCCACAGTTTATCTGGATATTTAATCCAGTTTTTGGCCATTATAGATAATGCTAAAATTAACACTCTGTGCAAATAATTAAAATGTTGTTGAACTAAAATCACTAAGGGCCACTTAAAATCTAACTAATTTTCAACCAAAGTTCTACTGTATTTGGTAATTGGAATAGTCCCTCTGGTTATTCTTGTCATAGTTTGTAACTGTGTGGAACAGGTTTAAAAAGTCTTATAAATCAAGAACCATTAATTTTGAAATCTACTTTAAAATTATAAAAGTACTAAAACAGTACTTGTGAAAGGAATTTTAAAAAGACAAAATCATTAGAGAAAGAAGAATGGTATCAGTGGTCTTCAAACTTGTTTGAGCAATCCCAAAAACAGCTTTTAAAATTATATATACCTTCTCCTCTCACATTTTTAATTTGGCAACTATAATTTTTTACTAAATTCATTAGGATAATTATATAAATTTCAAGTGTACTTTATAATGTGATATCTGTATAATTTTTTATCATAAATGCAAGTAGTTGAATGACATAATTTCCAGTTTACTGTATATTAAATGTACCTTAAATATATTTTCCATCACATCTTTGAAGCTACATGGCTAGTTCATTCAATTTATGGAGGATGTCTGCTTTGTAATGTTAAGGAAAAAGCTAGTCCCCATTGTCAAACTAACAATCCAAATCAAACTTATATTGCACTTTGTTAGAGAAAGTCCTATTTTGATTTGCAAATGAAAATGTCAATACACATTCCTGTGATGATAATCTCACTTCTAAATTCAACTCTAGGATAGATAGAGAAGGCAGGAAGCGTTGTTATGAGTTTACCCCCTAGATGAACCAAGGCATTGGCATTTTGTACCCAGTTTTCTTTGTTTTGTTCTCGGTTGAACTCTTTCGCCAGAGCTATCCATTCTTAAACTATCCATTTGTCACCCAGGTGGTTTCTGCACCACAGAGCAAAGCATGAGTAAGATGCAAAATGGAAGAGAAGTACTATTTTTTTGGCATAATAGCATTAAGTTGATTATGAAGAGAGAGGAGAAAGGAAAACCAGCAGACCACACAGGTCTGTTCTCAGACAAATCGTATTTAGGAAAGAGTATATGAGTTTATTCATATATAGAGTTTTAAAGATCTGGAAATCAGTTGTCTTTAAAAAATATATTATTCTGTATACTTCCTTGAAAGTTTGTTGTTGTTGTTGTTGTTGTTGTATACTCTGCTTGAATCCTGGGACATTCAAAATATTACAGAAAAATTTAAAATGTTTATAAGGATGAGTGTGATGATTTCTATTTCTGGTTAGATGGAAGACTAGATGTCCAAAGAAGTCATCTAGTACTGAACTATACATTATAAATAAAACATTTTTTAGAGCGTCTTTTAAAACACTTGGCTGAACTGTTAGGGAACGAGTAAGATCCTTGCTACAGATAAGAAGAAGTAAAAATCGAGGGAGTTAAGCCTGTCTATGCTGCTATTTGCCAAGGGGCATCTGGCTACCCTAGGGAGTCATATGCTAAAGAGAACAGACAAAAACGTGAGGCCGGTAGAAGCGGAGAGTACATAGATATCCACATGAAGCCATCATCCCAGAAAGTCTATACTGTCAGAGGGTTGAACGAGGGTTTGGTGGTGATGGCAGTATGCCTGTGTCAGTCAGGGTTCTATCAGAGAAACAGAACCAGTAGAAGGAGAAGGAGAAAGGAGGAGAAAGGAGGAGGAGGAGGAGGAGGAGGAGGAGGGGAAGGGGGAAGAGAGAGAGAAGAGAGAGAGAGAGAGAGAGAGAGAGAGAGAGAGAGGGAGAGAGAGAGAGAAATTACTCAGCAATAAAAAATGAATCTTGCCATTTGTGCCAACATGGACTTAAGAGGATATTATGCTCAGTGAAATAACTCAGAAATACAAATACCACATGATTTCATTTATATGCGGAATCTAAAAAAAACCAAAAACAAACAAAACCAAAAAAGACTCATAGAGACAGAGAACAAACTGATGGCTGCCAGAGGGGAGGAGGGTTGGGGGATGAGTGAAAAAGGTAAAGGGAAAAAAAAATTTTTCCTCCTCTAAAGGGACTATTATCATTTCCAATCCCTACCCAAAATCCCCAAGACTAGGCCAGCAAGCCAGGATTGTCAATTTTATGCTACATATGCTACAACTTAAATAGCCTTTTCACACGAGAAAAAGGCGATTCATACAAATACAAATCGTCCTCAAGTTTCATATAGAAAAAGTGTTGTTGTTGGGCCGGCCGAGTGGCACGATGGTTAAGAACTGGCTTGGGACGCCAGAGGGCCCCGGTTCAGATACCACATATGAGGGCCAGTGACACTGCCCTCTACATCTAAGATGCTGAACAACAGCTCAACCTGGAGCTGGGCTGCTGTGAGTCGCCGGTGATGGCATAGGCTGCAGCCCCTGCTGTGTAGGCAGCAGCCAGCGTGAGTGGCCCTCAAGCCGCCGTGAGCGGCCATCCAGAGGCCAGCGACTGATCTGCCTCGCCCGGGAAGAGCGCAATGATGGTGCCAACTTGGGCCAGTGAAGCAACGTCCTCCACAACTAGACTGAAGAACAAAAAGACAGCAACTTGTCTGTTCCCCTTCCCCCAATTCCCCAGCGCTGTTCCCATCCCCCAATTCCCCAATAAAAATCTTTAAAAAAAAAAAAAGGAAAAGTGTTGTAATAGGTTCAAAGAAATTTCCCTTACTGTATACTCTTCCAATACTGTATACTGTATTGCGGCATTATTCTTTGAAAAATTTTAACTCTAGGATGCAAGCAGGAATAGATATCTATTTAAATACAGTAAACTATGGCAAGAAATGACTACATAGATTAACTAAAAATACAACGGTATTTTTTTATATATTTACACTGATGTAATTTTTTTCTATTTGGAGTGAACCTAAAAGATGTGAATGAACTTTATGAAAAAATTGTAAAATTTTGTTGAAATACAGTAAGAAAGATCTAAAAAAAATGCATGTATTGAAAGAGTATCATTAAGATGTTCAAAACTGTCCTATAGATTAAATGTAAATTCCTTTCATGGAATTTGACAAGTAAATTCTATATTTATATGGAAATGCAAAGAGCTATGACAATCATGAGGAAGATAGAAGACTTGCCCTACTAAAGATATCATGCTGTAGCCACAAAATGGGATAGTATACAGCAAAGAAAATAAATGGGCTACAGATGTAAGCATCAACATGAATGAATCTCAAAAAATGTTAACATGGAGCTGAAAAAAAAATCACAGAATAGTATTCCATTTTATACATTTCAAACAGGCAAGTGAATCTATAGATCTTAGGAATACATACATGTGAGATGGAACAATGAGGAAAAGCACAAGAATTATTAATAAAATCCAGAGTAATGATTACAAGGGCTGATGATCAATTTATTAAGCTGAGTAATGAATAGGTGTTCATTTTATCAATCTTCTTACACATTATTCTCTTTGTGTATATTTTATAATAAAACAACTTAAATGATAGAATGTTCAGAAAATACTCATGTTGAAGCCCTAAACAGAGTATATTAACTATTGCCATGCTATTATAGATAATAGTTTTTAAAAACATGTTAGCTATAACTGAAAGTGAACAGGAGGGATCCCTCAAAAGTAAAGTTGTCCACAAGTTTAAAACATTCAATTTTTAAATAACAGGCATTTTGGGGTATTACACATTAAATTCTCTAAATTGTCTACTGTTTACAAATTTAAATGTTTGTACATTAACCACTGAGCACTCCAAGTTCTTTCCTTGGTGGGGTTGCCCCCAATCAACATTTTCGTTCTGGTGCTGTACATACATCATTGCTTGCCAGGGCAATCATTTGAAAATTTTTTTTCATAACAATTGAAAAATGAAAAGTTATAGTGATATTAATCATGACAATGCATATGTCTCCTAAAACTTTACTGAAACAACATAAAAATCATTAGATGTGCTAAAAGGGGGAGGAATCATAAAAAAAATCATGTGCTCATTGAACTTGTCAACTGTTCAAATATTAATGGAAAGAAAATTAAAGAACATAAATAAAATTAAGCAAACATATCATTAAAGGGTGTACAGTACATAGGGATTTCTGGGAAGTTGAACTCCAGTGCACACTGAAGTCTATGGTGTTTGACCTGTACATTGTATTTTCATGTGTTCTCACTAGTTCATTTGCCACTAAAATTGCTGACTGCCTTACTGGAAGCAAAGTACCCTAAAAATAACTGATTCTGCCAGCCAAGTGGCTCAATTGGTTAATAGCTCGCTCAAGAGTTTGAGCTCTGAGCAATAGCGGTTCGATTCCCGGCCTGAGCTGAGCAGCCGCTGAGCTGCCAACAGGTGGCAGGCTGGCTCAGCTTAAAAAATAAATAAATAAAAGTAAATAAATAAATAACTGATTCAATTACTTTCACTACTCTGTAATTAGCAGTTTCAAATACTAAAGGAAATGAAGCCAGCCAAAAGCAAAAACCATGGTCGCGAAAGAAGAAAAACATTAGGCTAGGAGGACCCAGGCTTGGCTACTGTGTGGCCTTAAGTTCCAGAGTACATTAAGAAAGTTAAATCAAACATTCCCTCCAATTTTTTTTTTTAAGATTTTATTGGGGAATTGGGGGGATGGGAACAGCGCTGGGGAATTGGGGGAAGGGGAACAGACAAGTTGCTGTCGTTTTGTTCTTCAGTCTAGTTTTGGAAGACGTTGCTTCACTGGCCCAAGCTGGCACCATCATTGCCTCTTCCCGGGCGAGGCCGATCAGTCGCCGGCTTCTGGACGGCCACTCACGGAGGCTGCTGGCCGCTCACACTGGCTGCTGGCTACACACGGTAGCCCATGGCAACCAACTGCAGCAGGGGCTGCAGCCTACGTCGTTGCTGGCTACTCCCAGCAGCCCAGCTCCAGGTTGAGCTGTTGTTCAGCATCTTAGCTGTAGAGGGCAGTGTCACTGGCCCTCATATGTGGGATCCGAACCGGGGCCCTCTGGCATCCCAAGCCAGTTCCTAACCAACACGCCACTCGGTTGGCCCTCCCTCCAATTTTTATTTATTAGGTTTAAAACTCCACTCCCTAAATAAAGGTATTGTAGTGCATTAAAGTAACAGAAAAGGAAAAAATCTCAAACATGTGAATGCCCACTAATTGTCAAGACGTGAGATACAGCGATAAATCAGACATGTTCCGTATTATAGCAGAACATACAGATTCTAAAGCAAAAGCCACATACTGCTTCAAATCTTACTGGTTTTAGAAAGTGGATGGAATTTTAATCAATTCCATGTTTTTGCTCCACTAGGAATACACAATCACAAGTGAGAACAAAGGAAATAGACACATTTATATAAATGCAATTGTAAAATAGTATTTTATTATGTTTAATATAGTGCTGTAACATTTCACAATATTGCATACTGCTCAAATATTGGTTTATTTAGTTAGACAACAATATCCTCCCCTCATCCCACTCCCCAACTGGAATTTAAAGATACATTGTCCTTTTAGAGCCCTGTCATACTGGCTCTTAATATGTCACATTTCATAAAATAGTAACACTAGGAACTAAAATGAGTAAAGGTTAACAATTACTTTGATTTCACAGTTTCACAAAAAAGCCAGTAAATTGCTGAATTTAGAACAGCAACAATCCACTAAGATTTTGTATAGTTACTTTTTCCATAATGCTCCTTCTAAAGAGAAGAAAAAATATGAAGGCAGAGGTAATGATTCTTTTAGTCCTTTGTCCAACAAATCAAACTTTAACTGCAAATAGGTTTTACAGTAACCGAATGATATGTTATTTCTGTGCCAGCAGATTTTATTACTTTTTTTTTTTTTTTTGCTTTCTTGTCCTGGTGCTATCAGTAAGTGAACAAAATAACACTAAAAATTAATTCCTAGGAACACCTTTCAAAATAATATGATAAAAAAAAAACAGGCCAGTGAGTCAAGTAGTAACAAATATAAAAAAAGCAAAATTGCATAGTTTAACTAGTAAAAATTAAAATTCAAAAAAATAAAACACTGAATTTAACTAAATAAATGTAAAGGACTCTTTCAAGTATTTTCTTGATTTTTGTATTAATGTATGTGTTCCTCTTTACAACATGTGTTATTCTTTTTGGCACAGTTTCTCTCAGATTTAAATATAATAAATCTTAGATAAGCAAGTTAAACATATTTTTTTCGCAACAAGGGTCAGTGAAGATTAATGAAAATACATTTGGAGTATTTTAAATTGTTCATTTGGATGCAGTAGTCATGTTGAAAATAATTGTTTAAGAACAAAGTACGAGTGTTTGCTAGTCTTGGTTCAATCAAGTCATCATCATGTCAACAGCTGGTCCCAACTATATTGTCCCTTGTATTCAAATCTAATCAAATTAATTGTCCAAGTAACAGGCCCATAAAATTAAATACAACTTTATATTTGAATACTTAAAATATGGTCATATGTGTACTTAGAGATATGATGTTTGTTTTACTGGCTAAAATTTAAAAATCCTCCCCTCAAAGGTCAGTGTGTGTGTGTGTGTGTGTGTGTGTGTGTGTGTGTGTGTGTGTGAGCGTGCGCGCACGCGCGCGCACACAAATGTACATATTATTTTTCCATCTATAAGAACTATTTTGTTTGAAAGACTTGGCTTAGAGATTTGTTAATTGACTACAGGGTCCTCAAAACAAAAGCAGGCACAGCTGGTTAGTTTATGAATTATGCTGCATTAAGTTCAATTGATTAGAAAGAGCGAAATACCCTGTTACCTAATACTTAGAACCATCCATACCACAAAAAATTCACCTGATAAATTATCTGATAAATTCACCATCAATTTGATAATCTTTAATGTAAACACCCTGTTCTTCTGAACATATGTAGAGCAAAAGAAAAACTTTTTATACTACGTACTCCCACGAAATAAAAAGGGCACAGATACAATCCTCTAGTTAATACAGAAGAGGTTTGGCAGATACAGTCAGCATTATGGACACCATTTAAACCTGTATTTTATAGCTGTAGGTTTTAAGTGTCTTGCCAAAAGTTTAATTTCATGATATACAGTTTACAAAGTGCCATTATTCAAAACTACTCATATATACATTTTCTAACATGCCTCTGATTTCCAGCAGAAACATTATAAATGCTATCATAAATGAAATCTTCCTTTACAGAATAGACTATGAATCATATCAAAAATGCTTTAGTTCCCATCTTAAAGCAGTAGTAAACTAATTTTTAATAAGCATTTGTTCTATAACTGGAAATGTAAATAGCCTGCATATAACTAACTATAAATGAAAAGACTAAGTTCAATAGTACCATATCTGTTTAGAAAACTCTACCAAGTATAGTGCTGTGAAAGTAACAGACACACACATACTAGATGTGCCAAAAAAAAATGTATATACATGACTTGTATTCATCTTTTGTTGTTTGTATATATTGAGTATTACAATTTTAATAGGGTTTTTTCCTTTCTTAAAATGTGTATATATTTTTTGGCACCCTCTGTATATATGTATCTATAAATATACATGTAATTATTCTATTGAAACTTTTTTAAATTTCAGTTTGGAGAGGTTTTGCTTTTAATACATAAACACATACATTATACTGACCAATCTGATAAAATACAATGTAATTTAATACACTGATTCATGACAAGTAGTAGTATGACCCTCCGTGTATTACCAAAAAATTTTCCTAATAATACATTTCAAGTATATTAAAGAATCCTTAGCAATTTTCATTAATATCTTTTAGAGTCTAAACATTAAGGGTATTTAATAAACTTTAGCACATAACAAGGTGATTTTTCCAGGATAATTTTGACACTGTTCATTATTAAACAGAAAATGAAACTTCAATCACTGCTCTGAAAAATCAGAGAAAGAATTACAGTATAATTTTTGCTATGCAGCACTACTTTAGATTCATGACGGAATCTCTATCATAATGCTTTTTAAAATGCGTGAAAAAATAATAAAACATTATTTCAAAAATGGTAGCACATTTGGTCAAAATACAAAATATACTAATAGCATTTATATGTTAAAAACACAAATATTAAATGTTGTATAATCACTTTAATGTGTTCAACATGAAGAACAGCTTCTCTCTTCACAATTGCCACATTTTAATTGATTATCAGTACAATATTTCTTCTATGTTTTTTAAATAAATTTTACAGGTTTTCTATTGTAATTTTGTTTTTTGCAAAGTTTAACCTACAGCACAGTGATTTATAATTTAAGGTAATAGATACCTTCACATTCTAATTTAGCTTTTATGCTATTTCATGCTTCTGAAGCTTTTTTGTTTTGTTTCTGCTTCAAGTTAGAGGTAGATTTAGTAGAGACTGGGCCTGTCAGACTTACTGCCAAAATACAATTATACATATCTGTACTGCTAATATGCAGTTTCCAAGAATGTTAAAAAAAAATTCAGAACCGTATGTAATACTTTACCAAAGTTCTCCTTTTCAAGCTCAAATTATTAAATAATTTCAGTGTATTTAATTGTTCACAAATAGATTAAAAATAGATAAAACAATAAAATACATAAATATAGGCACACCAAAATAAAAACAAAACTAACCGAAAAATTGTATCTGAATGGAAACTTTTGTTTTGTTTTGCTTTTTAAAAGTGCATCAACTTCTTTCTTTTTCTGTTCTACATAAAAACACATCAAAGATTCCTACTGACATTGTAACAAAGAGGAGACTACCGTTTTTCCCCATTAATTTCCCCCCACCAAGTTAAAGTTGAAACCCTTCCATTGGTGCTTCCTGCTGTTGAAACACAAACTGTTGTTGGTTTTCATCCACCTGAGGTACAATACTGGGGTCGTCATCTTCCACACCAAAGTAATGTTCAATCAGATCAAAAGCCTTTTGGTAAATTTCTTGATTTTCATGGCTTTGCAGAAATTCAATCTTATCCAGACCTATTATACAAATCATATATATAAAAACCAAACTGTTACTCAAGTCTCAACATATATTTCAGTCAAAATAATGATTTAGTAGCATCCATCAGTCCACTGAGAATGGGTCTGTTCTTTTTATCTAATTTTTACATGTACTGACAGCCAACACTGGTGCCTTATTCTTCAAGAATGAGAGTATGCGGCAGCATGGTATGAGGTGAGGAAGTAGCACAGGCCTAAGAGTAAGGTCACAGACTCCCCCCTGCTAACTATGTCATTTTGCTCAAATAAGTTTGGTTTCTCTGTACTTTAGCTTCTCAATTTTAAAATGACAGTATTAGATTATGTAGCTCCACAGGTCTTTTCCAGAGTAATTATGCTAAATAAAAAGCACCAACAGGGAAAGCAACAAAACAAAAACAAATTAAAAAAGTGAAACTCGAGCAAACTAAAACATGCACATTCTCTGAGAGGATAAGCCAGAGAGTATCAATGAGTACTATTTGCAAATCCAATACAGCTACTATGTAATTTTTAAAAAGTACAACCAATAAATGAAACTGAAAAAGCCCAATTTGATAGGATAAGGAGAATCCGTAGCACTCTATTTTATTGTTCACAAGAAAAAAAATATCTACATACAATTCTGAGTGATGCTGAAAATATTTTTCATTTAATTATAGGTAAACCTCTTCAATTATATTATTGCAGGAGAGAAAGAATAAGCAAAGTAGTCATATCTATACACAATCATAGAATATACCAAATTCTAGTATAACCTGGGGTCGATATAATTACTGCAGTAAGGAAATATTCTTAAATCAGTGATTAATATCTTGTATTTATATAATATCTTAACCAGTGACACTATATAACTTGAAATAAAGGCAAAGTAATATCCCAGGCTTGGTTTAAGAATCATAACTATTGCATTGTTTTGTACACCTAAAACTAATAATTAAAAAAAAATCATAATAAAAGCTTGACTCAACCATACATTTAATGGTACTTAAAACACAAAGTGAATATTTAACAGAAATACAGTAAAGGAAAAAAAAAATCAACTTATATTCATGCTTTATCCTAAAGTAAATTCCATGTGAGTTCAGTGTTTTAAGACTCCAGTCAGAAAAATCTAGCCAAAAAAAAAAATTTCAGCAAATCACTGTAGCGACTTTGTAAACTTTGAAGGAATAGAAGATTAGATTGAGTCATTTATTAAATATAAATGAACATGGTTTACCTTATTAAAACAAAATAATAAAAAATGGGCGAAAAGTCATATTAAAGTGAACAAGTGTAAAATGGAATTAATTCGAATTTTTACCAAAGAAGAGACAAATAGGCAATTGGTCAAAGTAATAAATACGAAATTTAGATGAGGAAATACCCTAACACATGGAAAATATACACCATCTTCTACATGAAATAAAACAGAAGACACATAAAAGTAACTTGGTGATACCATTTTACATCTGCAAAGTCAGCAAAATCAACAAAACAAGTAAGAGGTGTTACGAGTAGATTCACAATGCCAGTGACAGTCAAGTAACATGCCTTTGGAAAGCAAAACGAGAAACATACCAAAAGCTTAAAAACAGGTCTGTGCCTAAAACTCAGCGATAACATTCCTGAAAATTTGCCCCAAGATATTATTTCCAACAGAAAAAAATTATATTCTGAAAGATGCTTATTTTGGCATATGTAAAGTGGTAAACAAAATGGGAACAAATTAATGATCAAGTAAAGAATATGGTTAAAACTGCACTCAGTATGGCTAAAATGACACACAACATTCACTCAACATAACATTATGTAGCTATTAAAAATTATAAATATCATGTAGAAATGTAAAATTTCTCCAAAACGTTAAAAAGTGGAACACAAAACTATATATGCCAAGATGAATGTCATGTGGCTGTCCAGTTTTCCTAGCACCATTTATTGAAGAGACTGTCCTTTCCCCATTGTATGTTCTTGGCTCCTTTGTCGTAAAGTATTTGGGTACAAGAACAAAGTGAAAAGGGATAAAATAATGAAAAAATTTTTTATGGTAATAGAATTAAGGATAACTTTAAAAATATTGTTTAACATATGCTGCTTTTGGGCCGGCTGAGTGGCTCAGTTGGTTAAGAGCTCGCTCAAGAGTTTGAGCTCTGAGCAACAGTGGCTCGAGTCAGCCCGAGCTGAGCAGCCNTGGCTCAGTTGGTTAAGAGCTCGCTCAAGAGTTTGAGCTCTGAGCAACAGTGGCTCGAGTCAGCCCGAGCTGAGCAGCCGTGAGCTGCCAACAGGTGGCAGGATGGCTCAGCAAAAAAAAAAAAAAAAATGCTGCTTTTACACAAAATATTTCAATGGAATTGGAGGGGGAAAATGCCTATGGAAGATAATTAAGAACTGACTAACTCTCAACAAAGTGGGTACCTCAATATAATAAAGGCTATATATGATAAAACCACAGCTAACATCATACTCAATGGTGGAAAGCTCAAAGCTTTTCCTCTAAGATCAGGAACAAGACAGGATTGTTCACTCTCACCACCTTTATTAACATAATATTCAAAGTACTAGCCAGAGCAATTAGACAATAAAAAGAAAGAAAAGGCATTGAATTTGGAAAGAAAGAAGTAAAACTGCCACTATTTGCATATAATATGACTATATTATATACATAGGAAATTCTAAAGACTCCACCAAAAAAACTGTTAGAACTAATCAACTAATTCTGTAAAGTTTCAGGATACAAAAATCAATAGACACCCGCCATTATTGCAGAGGCCAATAACCCTATATGGAGCATGCCTTTACCCCGTTGGAACCCCTGCTTCCCACTGGGAATTTGAAATACTGCCTTGTGATCCTGAATCAGCCTTTGGATAAAGATTTTCGTCATCTTTGGAGCAAAGCTTTTTGCCTGAATTCATCAATGGAGACTTTGATTCAATAAGGCCTGACTTTAGAGAATACTACGCTATTAAGGGCTGTGAGCTTATTTCCACCCCTGATCAAGACCACACCGACTTCACCAAGTGCCTTGAAGTGCTCCAGAAGAAGATAGAAGAGAAAGGCCTGCAGGTGGATGTGATTGTGACGTTGGGAGGACTTGCTGGGCGTTTTGACCAGATCATGGCATCGGTGAGCACCTTGTTCCAAGCAACTGCATCACTCCTCTGCCGATTGTAATCCTCCAAGAGGAATCACTCATCTACCTGCTCCAACCAGGAAAGCACAAGTTGCACGTGGACACGGGAATTGAAGGGGACTGGTGCGGCCTTATTCCTGTTGGATAGCCTTGCAACCGGGTTACGACAACGGGCCTGAAGTGGAATCTCACCAATCACATGCTCGGTTTTGGAACACTGGTCAGTACTTCCAACGCCTACGGATGGATCTGGTGTTGTCACCATGGAGACGGACCACCCGCTTCTCTGGACCATGGCCATCAAGCCCTAACCCTGGACTGCCATTCCCAGCCGTGCCTCTAACTTACCTTATTGGCCACCGACTCACTGCTCAACCAGAACAGCTCACCTGGTTGGCAGGAATCTAGCCTCTCCATGCAAGCGCGCTAGTTTTAAAGATGTAAATGTTCAGATCATCCAGGGGACATAAACGACAGCTCTCAGTTTTACAGTGAGGGGGAATCATTTTTAAGAAAAGAAATAAGCTCTGTGACATTCAGCTGCAAATTTAATGTGGCTCATTCTGTACTAATTATTCTTATGTTATTAATCATTCCATTTTCCTAGAAAATTGCTTTAACTTTGAAGTTGAGAAGGCTCAGCTGTGGCCCCTTGGCACCCAGCATGTAAACCCCCTCCTGTCCGTCTTCAAAGCTTACCATCAAGGACTTCCTCTGGGTGTCTATTAATATCCGCTTCCTTTACACATAGAACAAACTTCTGTCCAGATGGGGACGTTAGAACTGTACCATTTTACTCTGGCCCTTATTACTGTCTTTTAAAAATAAATCAGGAATCACTGACCAAATTTTTAAATCTGAAAACAGGTAGTTGTGGAAGCTATAGGTGAAGAAAGACAAACGACAATCAGCAAGGCCCTCCCAACATAGTCACCCCGCGTGCCATGCTTTTGTGAACTGATCCAAACTGCCCTCGTCAGAGTTACAGCAGAGACGGGAAATGTTGTGCAGAGGAAACTGAAGCATAAAAATGGAGTTGTCCCTGACACACCGCAGACTGTTGGTTCAGAGACCACAAGTCTGTTCAGGTGACAGAAAAGGAGCTTGGCAGCCCATGGGGGTCTGAAAGCCCACGTTCGGGTCCCAGCCCAGCCATTGGCCTCCCTTCCCGGAATCCCAGTCCTTAGCTGGAAAGGGGGGTTGGTGGATCGTGCCTGAGCCGCCCTCCCACACTCAGGCCCACACTGACGGGCAGTTACTGGGCAGACAGTGCACGGGGACACCCAGTGGTACTGAACCACCGGGCACTGAAACGTGTCCACGTTGCTCTATGATGAGACCCTCTTCTCCCTTCTTACCCTTTTCAGTCCTAGTTCCCAAAGCAAATGTTGCCCCCTAGTTTTCTTACATGCAGCCCCCAGGCTGCTGTAGGGAAGGGACAGGCAGCTCCTTTGTTCCTGGTGCTACCACAGCGTGAGGGGCGGGCTGTGGGTGGGTCTGCTGAGCTAGCATGCAGCTGGGAGCAGCTAATCATTAGAGATCACTTGTAATTATTTACGCAAATAAATGTGAGGTTGAAATCCAGATTTGAATAAAAATATTTGGTTAATTTGCAAAAAAAAAAAGTCTATAAAAATTTGTTATGTTTCTATACACTACTAAACTACTAGAAAGAGAAATAACAAAACAATCCCATTTATAATTGTATTCAAAAAATACCTAAAAATAAATTTAACCAAGCAAGTGCAAGACCTGTACACTGAAAACTATGATAAAAGAAATTGAAGAAGATACAAATAAACGGAAAGATATTCTGTTGCTCATGGATTGGAAAAATTAATATTATTAAAATGTCCACACTACCCAAAGCAATCTATGAATTCAATGCTACCCCTATCAAAATTCCAGTGGCATTTTTCACATAAATAGAACAAACAATCCTAAAATTTATATGGAACCACAAAAGACCCCAAATAGCCAAAGCAATCTTGAGAAAGAAGAACAAAGCTGGAGGCATCGTGCTCCCTGATTTCAAACTATGTTGCAAAGCTATAATAATCAAAACAGTATAGTACTTACATAAAAACAAACCAATGGAACAGAACAGAGAGCCCCCAAGTAAACCCAGACATATGTGGGAAATTAATTTATGACAAAGGAGCCAAGAATATACAATGGAGAAAGGACAGTCTCTTCAATAAATGGTGCTAGGAAAACTGGACAACCACATGCAAAATAATGAAACTGTGCTATCTTACACCATACACAAAAACTAACTCTAAATGGATTAAAGACTTGAACATAAGACTTGAAACCATAATACTCCTAGAAGAAAACATAGGTGGTAAGCTCCTTGACATTCGTCTTGGCAATGTTTTTTTTGGATTTGACATCAAAAGTGAGGGCAACAGTAACAAAAACAAACAAGTGGGACTACATCAAACTAAAAAGCTCTGCACAGCTAAGGAAACTGTCAACAAAATGAAAAGGCATAGGAGAAATAGGAGATTAGGAGAAATACTTGCAAATCATATAACTGATAGGGGTTAATATCCAAAATACATAAAGAATTCATACAACTCAAAAGCAAAAAAACAAAGAACCCAATTAAAACATGGGCAGATGATTTAAAAAGACATTTGTCCAAAAAAAGACAAACTTGTCATCTGTGACAAGTGAAATAAATCAGACAAAAAAAAAATACTGGATGATGTCACTTAAGTGGAATCTAAAAAAAACAACCAAAAAAACAAAAACCTGAGCTTATAGACACAAAAAAGATTGGCAGTAGCCAGAGGCAGGGATGGGAGGGTGGGCGAATAGGTGAAGGGGGTCAAAAGGTACTAACTGCCAGTTTTAAGTAAATAAGTCATAAGGATGAAATGTACAGAATGGAACTGTAGTTAATAATGCTGCATATTTGAAAGTTGTTGAGAGAGCAAATCTTAAAGGTTCTCATCACAAGAAAAAACAATTTTTTTTGTAACCATATGGTGACTAGTCTTACTTCGGTGATTATTTTGCAACATATACAAATATTGAATCATTATGTTCTACACCTGAAATCAACTTAATATGTCAATTATATCTCAGATTAAAAAAAGAATTGACTGTAATTATAAATTTTTAACTGACTGCTTACCATATGCTTCCTCAATGAGAGCACAGTATGGATTAATGCCTATCCCATTCTGCTTAGATTCTTGTTCTCCAAGACGTAAAATATTTTCAAGTCCATTTAAAGCCACTTGGACTATTTTAGAGTCCATAACAGTCAATAGGTCACAAAGTGGTTTAATGCAGCCTAAGGCTACCAAATACCTTCAGAGTAATTAAAAAAAAAAAAAAGGGGGGGGAAAACATTGAAAAAGACTTAAATATTTTTTATAGCAAATGACATGAAAATATTCTTCAGTGAAATGTTATAGAAACAATTAAGAAAAGTGTTCTTATAAACTCAAACATTAAAAACAATATTCGCTTACATAGGAACCTGAAAACTTATTTTACTCTCCTGTTCTCATAATTTAACATAATTAGCAATAAATGGTATTATAAATATTATAAAAATATACATGCAAGCAAAGTGGTACGTGGGCCTGTTTTTGCATGCCATAATAACACTAAGTGGGTTATAGGTTTTTTTGTTGCTTATTTTAAATGTGGTCCTATATACACGTAACATAGGGGTTCTATCGGGGTAGGTAGAAATGGAGAAAGAAAAGAAGATCCAAATAAAACTTCAGGAAATTTCCCACCAAAAAAAATCATAACTGATGTTCTGAAACATCTGTTCTGTATCAGAAGTATACAAGGCTTCTAGGAGCAAGACAGGCCATTGTGAATAATTTTAGTAAGTAACGTTGACAAAAATTACTGGTTTTCAGAATGCTTTGTTCTTTTCTAGTTCTTATTAGCTTTTTCCATTCTCTAAAATGTAAATAAAGTAACCGATTTGTTCACTTGGCAAAAGTTCATATTAAGCAAAAAGGTGAAAAATGTGTTCTGAAGTCAGGCTGCATGGCTTCAAATCCCAATTCCACTCCTTATTAGTTGTGTGACTTTGAGTAACTGCTCTGTGCCTCAATTTCCCCATCTTAAAATGGGGATAATAATAGTACCAAATTCAGAGGGTTGCTATGAGAATACAGTAGGTATTCAATAAAGTTAGTTTCTATCTTTTAAAAAAAAATGTACACACCTTCACTGGAGCCTTCACTTGCCATATAACATACTGGAATTCATCAGATATATTTGTTGAATGAATAACTATCTCAGAGAGTTATTACGGGATTAAAGGAGATAAAAGATGGTTAAGCACCTGATATACTATTGGCACTCAATAACTGAAATGATTTAGCACAAAAACTGGCAATGTTAGACACTCCACAAACATCAGTGGTATGCATGCTAAACCTAATCTGAGATCAAGGCCTCTTCCCATATATGCAGACTTAATGAAATGGTGAAAATGGTTAGAAAAATAATGATCTGAGTGGATACTTGATTCATACTAACAAATTTAAGGAATAATATATGGAATAGACATAATGATGAAAATAAATAGAAAAAATACAACCGTTTGTAGGTGAAAAAACAAACTTTGGACCCCAAAGCAGATATAAATAATACTAGCATTAAAAAAAAAATACAAACTAGAACGAAGCAAAGATCTTGTTTTATTACTGCTTGTACTCATGAAACAATGATATAGAAGTACTGATTAAAGCAAAGAGGTGGAATAGAAAATAAGAAGCAGAGACAGATGTTATCAATACATAGAGATACGAATCTGAGGGAGCAAGACAATAGTACGAATGAAGAAAATAATAGACAATGATTTCACAATAGGTAGATTTTGAAGTCCTGTGATTCGTAAAATAGCACAGTAGCCTGACATTTTTTTATAAATTAAGAAACAAATCAAATACTCATTAGAAAATACTTCCTAGTCACTTCAAGAAACCTAAAAAGTCTTGGGTTTCATGGAGGGATCCTCAAAACAAGACGATTCTGTAGGATGATAGGCTTTCATAGAAGTGCAAAGTAGAACTTTGCTATGGGGGGAAAAAAGAGTAAAAGTACAAGATGAAAAGAGACTTAGAAATCAATACTGATCCTAAAAATTATGATTATCACAAATAATAACAACAGTTAATCTTAATAGAGAACTTAATGTTTAGGCACCATGTTAAGCACTTTAAATGTATGCACTGCATTTAAGTGTCAAGATATTACTATAAGGTACTATCCATTATTGAATCCATTTTAAAAACTAAAGAAACTGTGTATTAGAGAAGTTAAATGACTTTGTCAAGGTCACGCAACTTTTACTGAAGGAACAGGATTTGAAAACAGGCTGACTTCAAAGCCCATGTACCTACTATTTGTGCTGTTAGTAAAAGAAACAAGCAAATTAACAATAAAAGGCCTAGATTCAAAAAGCTATCATAAAAAAGAAAATAGTATAGAAAAATAAAAGATACTATCCATAGATAAATCTAACAACAATTAGAAGAACATTATATAAACAAATGTCTATTTCAGTTTTATTTTAAATAAGTAGATATTCAACTTTATTAGCCATTTCTATATAATAAAGTAACATATATGTGAGTCAATGGTCTAAAAAATATTTAATGCCCATGAAGTATATTTTGTAAATTAACATACACTATTTTTTTCAGATTTTTAATCAGAGTTTCATAAATAGTCTGCAAAGGAGAATGATATTATACTTTAAATAAAAAAAAATAAACCACTGTAGATGAATGCTATAACTGGTATAACAAGTGCTGTCATTTCACATTAGAAGTTTTTATATTTTTAAAATAACAAAATGCTTTAGTTTAATCAAGAAATAAAAAGTATGTATTATTTCAAATTTTGTCTCATTTACATCTGAAAAACAAGTTTAAAAAAATCTGTATCACACCACCTTATTTGTTCTGGAGTGCCTCCTGATGTTGCATTAGTTACAGCCCAAGCTGCTTCTTTTCTGGTACGAAACTCTGCTTTCTGAAGAATTTCAATCAAAACAGGAAAAATATTTGCATCTATAACAGACTGAAGAGGAAAAATGATAAAGCATAATCAATGTAAATACAGTTTTAAAAATATGAGTAGAGGAATCTTGAAACTCAATGGCTTTAAAATGTCAGGTTTTTTAAAAATATTTTATTTCTTTCAACGAACTTTCACATACTTCCTTTTAAGACTGAAGAATATATTAGTAGAAATTAAATTTTAAAGGTGATAAAACACAAGGCAGATGATTGATCAAATGGATAAGTAATTACTGACTCAAGGAGCTGGACAGGGTCCTAATAAATCATTATTTAAAAGTTTTGAGAGGAAGATCATTGCCTAACTTTTCTAAAACTAATGAAAATTGATCCCTTTTTAAAGACTAACCATTATTAGTCAGGCATTGCTGGAGAATTATATATATAGTTGCTATTCCTCATTAGAATACTACAAGTAAATATTATTTTAGAACATATATTATTCTATGTTCTTTAAGAATCTTTTAAGAATCTTCTTTAGTAACTCACTAAAAAACATTAATGATAAAATGCTGACTTTTTTCCAACTAGCTTCTGAGATCTTCCTGTTTTCTCAGATCTGAAAGGTTAGTTACCTGAATCTGAGCTCTATTTCCAGCAGTAATGTTAGAAACAGTCCAACAGGCTTCTTTTCTGATTGACTCCTTTGGGCTACTCAATAAGTGTAAGAGACAGGGTAATGCAGAGCAATTCAAAATGACCTAAAACAAAAGGTGGAAATGGAAACTAAGAATTTTATAGAAAAAAAAACTATACAAAAATATACTGAGTTATTTAGAAATACAAAAACCATTCTGAAAAACTAAATTAAGAAAAAAGAAATTGGTCTCAAAGTAAACCTTAGGCACTTGCTGTCTTCTACCCTCCCACTTGGCCAAAACTTGTCTAATGTTAGATGTTAGTGTAGTGAAGTGCCCTGTTCTCAATGCACTAAAATGTAAATAAGCAGAACACTCAGAGGGGCGTACTTCAACTTTACACATGCACTCCGAGTTCCACTGATATAACTATTTGAACAGAGATTTGGTGACTGGTCAGGATCCAACCTCCAGTTTTGCCTAATAAATTGGTGAGAAGAAACCTTAGTGTAGAGTAAGTCTATTCGTTTCATTAAAATTTTTATTGTTCCACTTTTCTTTTGTAAAGATATTCTGTTTTGTTCTTTTACATTCTTTTTGCTATGGCAAGATTATGTTCCTATTTTCAAAATACCCACAATGATTTACATAAAATTATGTAAATTACATAAAAATACAGTATGAAGCAGTGGACTGCAATTCTGCTGAAAACAGTGTATGTTTAGAAGGGCATATTCACTGAAAGAGCTACTTGAATAACTATCAATTACTAAGGATCAACTGTTTAATAACTAAGGTAAGTATAAGTAGAACTTTTAAAGATTAAAAATGAAAGAAAATATGTAGATTAGAAATAAAAAGTTTACTATCTGGTGGCAAACAAAGGAGAATCTAATGTGTTACAGAGTTTAAGTTTTATCTTCAAGAAAGGCTGTCCCAGATCTGAAGACAATCTTGATATCACACCTTTTGTGATATCTCACACACGTAGTTAATTACCAGTCCAAGGAAGTGTTTCCTTGTTATCTTTCCTTCCATTCTCATAAACTAGGTCTTCAATCTACTATAAAAGACCATTCCATTTGCAACCCCACTTGTAACCTATTTATAACTAATCGTCCTCTCGCTAAGTTTCTTTCCAGTCAAGTTTAGTGCCTCATACCTTACACATGTCTGCCTCTGTACCTATGTGCACATAAATCTCTCCTAGTCTACTTAAGTTCTTCTCTACTTTTAAGATGTAGCTTTAGTTCCAACTCCTTTATGGAATAGACATCGATTTATCAGCACACATTTCTTTTTTAAATTTTTATAGTTTTTACTGACCAATCAGCTCTCAGAAACTACATACTACCTCAGGTAATTTACTTTGTTTTAATATCTATTTTCTCTCCAATTGAACTGTAAATCCTTCAAGAGCTGAATTGCTATCTTCTACTTCTTTACATTAGTATAGGTTTAAGATAGTGCTTTCATATAGAGGTATTTGAGGCTGATCACTTATTATCAAGAATATGCCTACTGTCAACGATAGATGCCTGTATAATTATGGTAATACTATAATTTTGATTAACATGTATTCAAGTGGTATACACATGATAAACTTCTTAATGTCTTTCATGTTAATTTGCCATATTAAAGTCTGAACTCACCTGTGTTTGAATATCATCACCAGTCACAATATTACCAACTGCTCTTAATGCAGGTGATACAACTTTATAATCATTGTGCCTAAAATAATAAAAATATGAACTTACAGACTATATAAGAATTTAAAATTTACAGAAAATTCGCAAAAATAGTACAAAAAAATTCTCCTATACTCTTTACCCAGAGAGCCCATTCAAGTTTCTCTAATTATCCCATTAATATCTCTATAACAAAGAAATCTAATTCAGGATCATGGCTTGCACCCAGTTGTCATATCTGTCCAGTCTCTTTCAATTCAAAACAGTTACTTAGTTTTTCCTTGATTTTCATGATCTTGACATTTTTGATGATCACAAGCCAGTTATTTGGTTTTGTCCAATGTTTCCTCATGATTAAGACCCAAGTTATATACTTTTGGCTGGGATAACACAAATGCTATAGTCTTTTCATTACATAGTAATGGGCAGCATATGGTATCTGTCTTGTCCATTATAGTGCCACTGAACTCTGGGGTCACTTAAAAGATGGTGTCTGCCATATTTCCCCACTTTGACATTACTGTTTTCCCCTTTATGATTACCATTTTGTGAGGAAATACTTTGAGACTATGTAAAATCTTATCCCTTAACCCACTTCCACCACTAGTTTTAGCATTTCTTGATGTTTATTGTCTGAATTATTAATAATTATTATTGTTGCCAATGATGATTTTTCTAATACTATCATTCCAACTACATGCCTTTTCTATCTATTTATCTACTTATTTTAGTGTGGAATCATGGATTCCTATTTTATTCAATAAGTTATACTATATTAATACAATTTATTTCAATGCTCAAATCATCCCAGGTTTGAACAGTAGAAGTGCCTTAAAGTGGGCTTCTGTGTCTTTTTAACACTCCTGCATTCTTTGAGAACTTATTACTTTCTGGGTTCATCTTATTTTTTCTCATTCCCAGCCCTAGAATTAACCATTTCTCCAATAATCCTGGTTCCTGTTAATGAAGAGTAGTGTTTAAAAACTAAGACCTGAGCATTTGGTGAGATCAGTGACATAAATGTGTCACTGTTCTGAGGTTCTTTATAAGAGAACATAAACGCATGCACGCGCGCGCACACACACACACATACAAATACACTCTCTACATATATGTTTATTTCTACATGCATCTCTATAATGTTGAAAGCCATGAGTTCACACTGATACGTCCATTCTAATACCACAAGATTTTTCTGGCTTTCCTCCTTTCCATATCTATAAACCTGTTCTCTGAGAATAGGAAACTGTCTTCTATGATCAGAATCTCCCTATGTATGACCACACTTCTGGTCCAGCTAGGCTTCTATGCCCCCATGTGGTAGCTCCACCCCCTGCTCCAGCCTGTTTGCTCCACTCTCAAGCGTGGGCCCTGATCCCCACATTGAACCTCCCTGCCCACCCTCCTCAGATGCTATCCTCATGCTGGGGTCACAACCCCTTATCAGACCTCTCTTCTTTGTGCCGTCTACCTTGTTTGGGCCTACCTAATGGTTTTTTGACAAAAGAAGAAAGGAAGGAAGATAATAAATTTTTAAAAGAAAAGGATGAAGAAACTATAATACCTTTTTAAAACAAGTTTTCTTACAAGTTTTTAACTTCTTTATATAGAAAATTTGTTCTTTTTAAAGAAGGTAGCAATAATAGCTCAGCATAGAGAAACATATTATTTTTAATACAAGTTAATTTTTTACACATTAATTATTGTAATTGATTACTGGAGAGTAGGAACTACATTCTATACCTCATGAACAGTATAGTATCTTGCACAACACTCTAGCAAATAATAGGCATTCCATAAATACTTGTTGAAGTAAGTCCTCTCATTCATAAAGAGATCAAAACTAGTGAAATTCATTAACAAAATGATTAGCCCCAACCAGAGGATAGAAGATACAAATTTAAGGGTCAACTTTCCAGTTTTATAGCTATTCTACAGAGTGGGGTTGGTAGAATTTCAATCCTTAATATAGATAGTGACTCGAGATGTTAATGAGGCTATTTCTCTAACAGCTAAACTTAATACAAAATCATACAATTAATAATCATAAATTATAGTTACATCAAAAGTTCCACCAATCTTCGACACACTCCAGAATCAATGACTGCTTGAATTTTATCATTGGGTCCATCGGAGAGATAAGAAAGGGCCCAACACACATCTGCTAATACATCTGGGTCACTGCTAAACAACAATCGTGACAGAACATTTAAGCAAGGTGAAACCTGGAAGGGAAGAAAGAGCCAATATTTAAATTTTTTCTATATAAAAATCCAAGTTTCTTCAGGGAAATAGAGAAACTCATTTTAAAATGAAAGCTTAATGGTCTAAAAATACCAGAGAAATTAAACAGCCTGCTCTTTTAAAATTATGATTAGATATAAACATGACACTGATTAAAACTTCTATTAATCTTACATAAGGTATGTAGTAATTTAAAGTTTTTAAAATCAAACATGTATTTTGGGATCCCCTACCTATGCCTAAATCATACATACACACACCCCCAAAATGGCATACCCAAACTGAGAGAAGTAAAAATGTTTCTATTAAGTGTTTAATATAATAATGGTCATGGAATATAATCCAACTTAAATGAACCTCACTTTACTTATTACATGCACATTATTGGCAGTAAACCTAATCATCATTTGAGCAGTAAAAGTATAAAAAGTACAAAAGAAATCTGAAGGGTTTTTAAGTGAAGTCACTAATAAACTGTACTTCTTAATGTACTGAAACCCTAAATATCAATTAAAAGCACACACACACAACAATAGGGATTTTCATTCCTCTAGCACTAATACTATAGCTAAAACTAGTTAGCTATGAGGTGAGCAAGTCACTTCACTTCTCTGAGACTCAGTTTTCAAATCTGTGAAACAAAGAGGCTGAATGGAATTAGATAAATTCTATGATCCTTCTTCCCACATCAGACAGACCTAGGTTCAAACACTACTTACCGGCTGTATGACCATGGGCAGATAACAAAACATCTCTAAACCCCAATTTCTTCATTTATAAATCAGGATAACACGGTAGTATTAAATTAGTAAGAATGCATGTAGCATCTTAGAACAATGTCTGGCTTATAGTTAGCACTCAGATGTTAGCTCTTTTTATTGTCTTGATCAGTATTGAGTCTATATTCCTTAAAGATCTTTATAAAATCAGCAACCTAACATATCTCTTAGGCTCTCACCTCAGATAAGAATTGTATGTAAAGGTTAGATGTGGCACAAATGAAAAGTGATGACAACTTTTTTATGTTCTAATATTTTAGATGAATTTTTCTTCCATCTCTAATTTAAAGATTGCCAGTACATACGCTAGCTACCTTTCTGGGAGAAATAACAGCATATTTTCATAGTAATGAGAATGATGTAGGAGAGAGTAAAACACTGCCAATTTTGGAGAGAGAAAGGAAATTGCTGGAGGAATGACCCTGAATAGGAAAGACAGAAAGCTATATAGTACACAAGCAGGTAAACTAACTTTATAAAATAGCATGGGAAAAAATAACAAACAATGACAGGAAAGTAAAATAGGTAGGTACCAATGACGACAGGATGCCAAATGTGGTGATGGTAATCTATGGAAGTTCTCTTCTGAGTGCTTCCATTTTCTCACTGAAGTAGGAAGCAAGGTCATAGGCTGAGAATCGAGGATAATGGAGAAAAAAAGCAGAGGTAGGAGGACAGAAGAGAACATAAGAAACAGTCTCCTAATTAATAATTTTTTTTTGCCAGCTGTTAAATAATGTCTGTTAGCCAATATTATACATGTGAATTGACCTGAAGTTCAGATAACCACATGACTTCTCAAGATCCATGCATCTTCTCAAAGTCCCTAATGTTCCATGAGATATTTCATAAAAGAAATAACTTTAAAAATGAAGCTTAGAAAAATGTGGTTTAGACTACTGGTTTTATAGATTATCAATTTTATAAATTTCAGTATCTTTCAAAACGCAAATTCTTCAGGAAAAACATATTACATAAATTTCAAATATATCATCCATATGAAAAACAATTTTTTAAGGTGGTTGTTATTACAAAAATTTTCTAAATCTTTACTGTTTGCCTATGGCTAAAGGACTCTTAAAACCCATAATATAGTTAGAACAAAAAGATATCAAAATGTAAATACTGCTTAAAAAAGGATTCCAATACTGCTACTAAGCAGAAGAAAAGAAAAATCAAACATGACATTTTAAACTAATTATATCTTTATAACTATTATCACATAATTATTAACTCAACATACACATATATGGATACATGCCCTTTATTTTAAAATGGGAAAAAAATATTCTCAAAAAGAATGTATTTTAAAGAAAAAAATTTAAGGAGAAAAGCAATGCAAAAACCAAAGTTCATTTAGTAAAAGCTCAATTAAATACAGGTATCCTATACAATTTTTTAGAGGCAAAATTAAAAAATTACTATGATTGCTAAAACCATGAATATAATTAGCAATCCAATTTTACATATGCAAGTCTAAATATGTAAACAGCAGGTGAAGGGATTCATTATCATTAGATGCATTGACTCATTATCTCCTCAGACAAAATATGAACATTTTCTTTCAATTCTAAAACAATTATTGCCAAATTATCAGTTTTAAAACATAATACATTTTCAAATGTAGTTTTAAAAGGCTATTTGAAGGATACTTGTGCACCTCATAAATATTCTTTTCCTTGTATTATACCGAGTCCAAATACTCATTCCTTCCCCTTCTATTATTAAACTGAAAACCATACAAACTCCTTACAAACTGAATAAGGCAGTTGCTACATTATTTTATAATATGTTTCCTTGAGTAAAATGTAAGTATAGCTTACTCAAAACTTTGTTCTCTAAGATGTAGTTGATCCTTTAAAAACATAGGTTTGAAAAAAAAAAAAAAACATAGGTTTGAACCACATAGGTCCACTTACATGCAAATTTTGTTCCATAAATACCAGTAGTGTTTTCCATCCAAAGTTGGGAGTCTGGAGATACAGAGGGCCAAATGTACGAGTATATATTTATCTATGCCAGTATTATACGGGACTTGAGCATCCAAAGAGTTTGGTATCCATGGGGGGTTCTGCAACTAATCCCCTATGGATACTGAGGGATGACTAAGTTTTCAGGGAGTCAAAAGTTATAAAACAGGTTTTCTATTTTAAGGGGAGTTGGCGCCTCTAACCCGTGCATTGTTCAAGGGTCAACTGTAAATCCATTAAACCAAATTTCTGGTTAAAATAATAATCTGTTTGCCCTTTTATTTTTTTGCATACTTTACAATACTTTATACTAGTTTCTTAGTCATATTGTGCACTTGTCAATAAACACAGAAAGAATAGGTATGGAAGGTTGTGGAAGAATTTCATGAACTATGATTGAACCCACAGCATGCTATGAGATGTGGTAAAAGATCAACAGACCATGGTGTAATGAGATTGTAAAATCAGGTTGGTGGTTCAGATGAAATGTGGTTAAGTCATAAATTCTTAAAACTGGAATGGTGAAAAAGTATAAATGAGAAGGCATACTAGTTTATGTATCATCTCTTTTGAATGAGGAATGTATTATTTTTGCCCCCAGAAACTTTATCACTAGATCTTTAAATTTTGTGTTTTTTCTTAGTGCCCTAGTCATTGTTCCCCCTTAATTCACATATACAGTCAGTTCAAAAGAAGTAGAAGAGCATTCCAAAAATGTATCCACATTCTATCTTTCTAACAAAACCTGACTGGCAATACAATAGAATTAGATTAGGAATTTATAAATAATCAATTCTTTTAATAGTGGAATATCAGTAGATGGGGGAAAAGATATTTAACAGATAAAAAGTATAATGGGAAAGTTCAAGCCACTCTAGTTACTTTTCAATTTTATGACTAACAGTGGACCTGGAATTACCTTATTCTTTTGGGGGGAGCTTCAGTTTCCTATAAATGACAAAAACGAGACTAGAAGACTTCTAAAGTCAAATAAAAAATACATAAACATCTAGTGACAGTGGTTGCCTCTGAGGAGAGGCAATCATGGAGTGAGCTAAGGGTAGAAAAGAAAATTTCCTTTTCATTGTTTATCTCTTGATTTTGTATATGTGTAAATATTGTCTAGTCAATAAGGAAAATAATTTACTAAAATAAGAATAAAGTACCTTCAATCTCTAAAAATCTATTACAAGGAGACTCAAAAGTTTATATAGACATATTCCTTAATTTGTGTATTTTATTCATACCTTACTAAAGTTTGGAGGAGGGTTTTTGCCTCTACATAAATTTGAGAGGGCCCATACAGCATTTCTGGTTGTTGTAAGCCTGTTTGAATTTGTTAATAACCTGCCAAGAAAAGAAAACAGGAATTGTCGCTTTATTTTCATTTTTCCTTTTTAGCTATTTTCTATCATAACATAAAAATTCTCTATACATTTTATAAGGCATTCAAAATGACCTGGTAAAATAGAAAAGGGGAGTTTTTAAAATTCATTGTAATTCCAGAAACAAAAATAAACATAGCACTGCTCTATTTTTAAATAATTGAATCTATGATCTGAGTGCATTTTTACAAAACATTAAACATGTTCAAAATAAATGGTGTCATGGGAAATTGACTTAATTATTTCTGTATACTTTTAAAAGAGTATTAGCTTTTTTTACCAAGAAAATAATACTTTATACAAATTCAAAAACCAAGGAACATAAAGTCAAATTTAATAAAGATTAGCTGTTGAGAAGGCATGTTTTGATTTTTTTTGAACAGATTGCCTGTCTTAGTATTCTTGATCTCCAACCTGCTAAATATAGAGAACCTAGGTTTTAAAAAAACAACAACAACAACAAAATCCCCATTCTTAAACAAGCAAACAAAACAGAAATAGACTCAGAGATATAGAAAAAATAAAAAAAACTTGATGGTTGCTAGATGGGAGGGGTTTGGGGATGGGAAAGGTGCAGGGATTAGAAAGTACAAAGTAGTCACAATATAATCATGGGGATGTGAAATACAGTATGGGGAATATAATCAATAATGTTATAAAGACTATGTAGAGTGGCAGATGGGTACTGGACTTATCAGGGGGATCACTTCATAGACTGTGTAGATGCCTGATCATTGCGCTGTACACCTGAAGCTGAAGTAGACTAATACTGAATGTCAACTGTAATTAAATATATATTTATATATATAGTCATGGGGTGTAAAGTACAGCATAGGAAATATAGTTTAAAAAAAAATCCCTATTCTGGAGTGATAGCAGCAAAAATGGTGGAGACGAGAACCCTGGGGGTCCATCCCTCCCCAGAAACTTCGAAAAAATTTACAAATCCTGTCAGAATCAATTTAATCCAAACTCTCAAAAATAGTCAAAAGTTTACAGTAACCAAGACAACTTGTAACCAGGTAAGAGTTGAATGTGGTAGGAGAGCTTTCTAGCAGTATAACTTACCCTTGCCCAACTCCCTCCCCAGGTGTGGCAGCAGCCTTGAAGACAAAAGCTGGAGTTCCCACTGTTGAGTTTTTGGTTCCAAAAGGAGCTAAGGAGACTTTATTTCCAAAAAATTGTGTTTGTCTGTTTTGACCTGTCTGGGTGTTCCCTGACAGACCGATGCAAGAGGCTTGCCTTTGTTTTGCCTAAATGGGAACTCTCTCACTAACCATGGAGGACTGAGGCAATGCGATTACATATTTTAGTGCCAAAAGCAAAAAATGTCAACAAGAATTCTATATCCACCAAAACTCTTTCAAAAATGAAGGAGAAGGTAAAACATTCTCAGAACAACAGAAGCTGAAGAAATTCACCACTAGTGGATCTGCTTTATGAGGGTAACTAAAAGGAGTCCTTTAGGTTAAAATGAAAGGACAATAAACAATATCTCAAAAACATATGAATAAACAAACAACACTGCTAAAAATAAGTACAAAGGTAAAGTATTATTGAATTTTTTATTTGCAATTTTCTTTGTTCTATATGATTTAAAAGAAAAATATATAATGCAATAATTATAAATCAATGTTAATGGGAACAATGTATAAGAATGTAATTTGTGGCAATAACAGCTAAAATGTGGTAGGACAGAGATATACAGGAGTTTTTGTATAATATTGAGACTAAATTGGTATTAATTCAAACAAGTCTGTTGTAAGTTTAAAATGTTATTTATACTTCCAAGATTAACCATTAAGAAAATAACAAAAAAATATACAAAAAAAGGAAAGAGAAGGGAATCAATACATTACACACACAAAAATCAATTAATTAAACACAAAAGAAGGTAGTAAAAAAGGAATTGAGGGAAAAAACATATAAGACATATAGAAAACAATAAAATGGCAGAAGTCCTTTCTCATCAGTATTTATACTGAATGTAAATGGATTAAACTCTCAAATTAAAAGGTACTGACTGGCAGAATGCATTAAAAAAACAAAACTAGGGCCGGCTGAGTGGCTCAGTTGTTAAGAGCTCACTCAAGAGTTTGAGCTCTGAGCATCAGTGGTTTCATTCCCAGCCCGAACTGAGCAGTCGCTGAGCTGCCAACAGGTGGCAGGATGGTTCCAAAAAAAAAAAAAAAAATGACAATTCATGAGCCATCTATAATGCACTCTACAAGACACTTTAGATTCAAATACACAAATAGGTTGACAGTGAAAGGATCAAAAAAGATTCCATGTAAATAATAACCCACAGCCAGAGTAGCTATATTAATATCAGACAAATAGACTTTAAGTCAAAACTTGTTTTAAGAAACAAAGAACATTAAATATTGATAAAAAGTCAATATCCATCATGAAGATATATAACACAAACTTATAAGACTTAACATCACAGCAAAACATACAAAGTAAAAATTGACCGAAGTAGAGGGAGAAATAGAATTGTACAATTGTAGCTACAGACCTCAATACACTGTTTCAATAATGGATAGAACACCTACATAGAGGATCAATGAGAAAACAGAGGACTTCAACAACACTATAAACCAACTAAATATAAGAGACCTTTACAACACTCCACTCAGTAACAGCAGACTATATATTCTTTTCAAGAGCACATGGAACATTCTCCAGGATACACCATATCATATTTCCCCATGTATAAGACGCCCCCATGTATAAGACGCACCTTAATTTTGGGGCCTGAAATTTGAAAAAAAATGTATTACATAATGTTATTGAACTCAAGTTTTATTCATCATAAAATTCATACAACTCACCACTGTCAAAACTCCCAACCATTAGCTTGTCCTCATCTGTGTCTGATGACGAATCACTGTCTTCATATATTGCCTCGTCTCAGTTCCATCTATGGCATTTGAAATGCCACACTTCTTAAAAGACTTGAAAACAATCTCAATCTTGATATTATTCCAGGATCTTTTCACCCAGGTACAAACTTCTCCTATAGTTGGTTTCTTCACTCTTCCTGCTGGTGTCAAATTGTCCCCAGAAGACTTCATCCATTGGTCCCATTCATCTCTCATGGCAGCTCTGAAGGGTTTATTAATGCTGACATCAAGTGTTTGGAGCTGGGATGTCAAGCCTCCAGGTATGACGGCAAGTTTTGTTTTTTGCTCCGCAGCAATCTTCGTTGTGTTTTTTGTTGTGTGCCCTGAACTGATCAAGCAGCAATAGGGCAGGTTTGCATAAGAGCCCACCTGGTCTCCTGCTCCAAACTTTCTCACACCAGATCTTCATCCCATCCTAATCCATCCAACCCTTGTCATGAACGTGGACCATCACTCCTCGAGGAATGTCTTCGTTTGGCATTGTTTTGCATTTGAAAATCAGCATAGGAGGCAGCTTGGTTCCGTCGACATAACAAGCTAAAACAACTGTATAATGGCTCTTTTCATGTCCACTTGTCTTCATAGTTACAGTTTTCACCCCCATCTTATCAACAGTTCTGTTACTTGGGACATCAAATTGAAGGGGGACTTTGTCCATATTTGTAATCTTTCCCAACTCAAACTGATGTGTCTTCCAACATTGAATGACAAAACGATGAAATTCAAGGACCTTCTGCTCATAGCTTTCAGGCATCTTTTGGGCAAGTCTGGTGCGTGTACGCATGCTTAGTCATTCCATTTCATGAATCTGAAGCACCAATTGTGTCCTCCTTTGAAATCAGCACCTTCTTTTTCATCAGCAATTCTTCTTGCCTCATGCTGAACCATCTTTGTGGACACAGGAATTCCAACTGCCCTTTGCTCTTCAATCCATATCTTCAATTCCCTCTCTAAATCTGGCCATTTTGCTGACTTGCCTCACATGGTCTTCTTCTGCTGTGGCATTTTCAGTAGGGTTTCTTCTTCCCGTAGACAGTCTCGGATTGTTTTCTCAGTTGGAGGAGGGCCAAACTTACGTGCAGCAGCACGATTTCCATTCACTTTTGCAAACTGGATCACTTTTAACTTGAATTCAGCACTGTACGAAATCTCTTCTGAGCCATTTCTGGGTAAAACGTAACCTACCGTAATATACCGGTACCAAGCGCGAAACAATGAGCGCAAAGACGAGAAGCGCAAAAAAGCAATGCAAGTAAAAAAAAAAAATCTACAATCACTGTATAAGACACACCCAGTTTTTAGACCCCATATTTTTCAAAAAAGGGTGCATCTTATAATGGGGAAATACGGTATGTTAAATCACTAAGCAAATCGGATATATTTTCAAAGACTGAAGTCATACAAAGTATCTTCTCTGACCACAATGGAATGAAACTAAAAATCACTAATAGAAGGACAACTGAAATATTCACAAACATGTGGAAATTAAGTAACAACCAATGGTACAAAAAAAAATCACAAGGAAATTAGAAAACACTTTGAAATCAATTAAAATGAAAACAAACATACTAAAACTTACAAGATGCAGTGCAAGCAATGCACAGAGGAAAATTTATAGCTATAAACATCTACATTAAAAAAGACTTCAAATCAATAACCTAAACATCCATCTTAAGAAACTAGAAAAACTAAATCAATAAAATGAGGTATGCCTGATTATTAAAAGGTTTCTCATGTTCATGGATGGAAGACTTAATATTGTTCAGATAGCAATACTCCCCAAAGTGATCTACAGTTTCAACATAATCCCTACGAAAATGCCAACTGCCTTTTTACAGAAATGGAAAAGCCAATACTCAAATTCATATGGAATTGCAAAAAGCCCTAAATACCTAAAACAATCTTGAAATAGATAAAAAAGAAATTTGAAGTACTCACACCTGATTTCATAACTTACCACAAAGCTACATTAATCAAAACTGTATAGTACTGGCATAAGGACAGACATATAGATCAATGGAATAGAATTGAGAATCCAGAAATGAAACCACACACG